TCCCAGCCCCATTCCTGTAGTGAGCTAGAACTGGATGAGGTGAATATAGTGTGGCCAGAGCAGATGTCCGACAAGACATGCATTGACAACTACCAGAGCTCTTCAACCGCATAATTTCTGTCATTGCTGCTTCAGTCACGAAGCCGGTCAGGAGCAGGTGGCTGCCAAAGCGGAAGTTCCCATCACAGGCAGATGCCAACGGTTCGAAGCACGGCTTGGAAGGTTTAGGAGGCTTAGATAGCTACGGGACTGTCCTGCTCTCGGCAGCCCGAAACAGAAGCCTGATGAGTGACGCTTGATACAATTAAGCCCTCACACCTCCAGGCGGACGGCAGGGCAATGACGAGTTCCTTTCACGACTGGTTGCTGAAAAACCATCGTACTGCTTGTGGATTCTTCGCGCAGCAGAGGACGCGCGTGCCCATGCTGTAGGTTTTGATATTGTTTTGCCATGTTTTCACTTTACATCCGGCTCAAGATTGGAATGGATTTCTCCTCACCTCAGCAGTCGCTTGTCCACTGTCACCAGTGTGCTGAGCCTGCCAAAACCCTGCCAGGAGAAAGAGGCTTGTGACAAATTGCGAGATCAAGCCGCGTGGCTCTCGAAGCATGCGCCGCATTTGAAGGAAGCCTCGGACCAACAGGGCCAGATGGGGTCATGGGAGCAGAACGAAAGATGTATGTCGGGAATTTGCCGAGCGTTTGTGCGACACCTTTGTTTCGACAGACTCGGTGGGACGTATTCCCGGCACCCGTCGAACTCTTAAACTGCGCCTGCCGCAGGAGACGCGGGTGGTCTGCATGCGGAGCGTGCACCGGGGAATTCCGCTTCCCCAGCTTGTCGCTGAAGCGTTTCAGCTGCATTGTCGAGGCATGCCTCAGGCTTTCGATGCACTGCATCATGTTGAACCCCCTAAACCCTAGACCCTAAACCATTGGCATGCCTTCCAATGTTTTCACACCGACTGTCGCACATGGATCCTCGCCTGGCTTGTCCGAGTTGTGAGAGTGTAAACCACTGAACCACGCTTTACACGTTTGAATCCGTAGCTATTGCTCCCTTCGTCTCCAAGCAACGCAGCCCTTGCGAAGGCCCCTTGGTTCTGAATCCCTCCAGAAGGTCTCTTTAGGTTGCCTATAGTCTCCATTGTAGTTCCTTTTGTTGGGGTAAGCTTATAGGATCCTACATATAAAAGTGGTTGAAGCGAAAAAGGAACTACAGTGGAGCGTATAGGTTAGTGCTTTTCATCACGACGGCAGGAATCTTCAGTGGGAGCACGATGGCCTGTAGTCGTGGAGTGTGATGATCAAGTTCTACCAGTCGTGGGCTTCCTGTAGAACACGGGTCCAACTTCACCGCCCCCGCGCCCGAACAGGAATAGATCCAGCGACTCGACATGCTACAACCACTGGTAGTGTTGGCGAGCTTGTCAACTGGACAAAATTTTGTGTAGATGCCCAGCTTGTGGAAAGGATCCACGGTGGTGCCGCTTCGTTTTGGATCAAGCGGAGGCCTGGACCTCTGTCTGCCTGTCATATTCCAGAATCCCAGAGAATCCCATCAAGTACTATAAGTCTGGCTAATATTAAGACGATAACATACCGGGCAGGCAACTGGGTTTCTAGGCTCCGATAGCTTTGCGAGGTAGTCAGTTTTGCCAGTGCGCAGCTGGCTTCTGTGCACCACAGGCGAAGTGCAAAGAGTTTGGGGAGGTGGCAGCTACTGGGTTGCCAAGAGGTTTCTCTAAGCTTATCTCTCTGATGTGCACCGCTGCGCGTGTTCCGCTTCCTGACCGTGCGTGACCCCAGCATTTCACATGAAGAGTGGAAGTTGTGGAACAGAGCCAACTACGAGGACACGGTTCGTAGGCACAAGATGTTCTTGGGAGTTTGTCAGATATTCGCCCATGGACTCGTGGACCCGTGGCTGCTGTGGCTTGCCTATAGGTATGGCTTCGCGAAAATGCTCCTGAACTTCGAGATGTGTCCAGCGATTCTTGGCAGGTCCGCATTTAATATCAGCTAGCAATCTCGCAATTATGCGGTTCTTGGATCTTGACTGCCTCGCAGCCTGCAGTGAAAGGAGGGGCAGTAGTCAAGTCGATTTCCACATGAAGGTGCAACTAGCGCAGCTGACTCGACATCGCCACAGTTAGTTGTAAGTGTTACTTGCTCTCGATACTTGCTTAGCAACGCTCGGTCGTGCGCCTTCACGGCATGCTGAGGACGACGAAGCAATCTTTGAAGAGCTGAGCCGGAAGATGCTCGAAAGATATGGCCAGTGGTTCGTCATCCGGTATGGCAAACATCGCATGAAGACGTTCTCCGCCGTGGTGCAGGACAGAGATCTTTCACTAGGTCACTAGGCAGGTCCACCAAGCATCAAAGGACATTGCTCATGAACTTACAAAGGATGGTTTGGAAAATCATGAGAAGCCCGCACTCTTTGTCCCCCAGGAAGACAGTAGAAGTACACGTGCAAGAAGTTATCGAGGCCTTATCTATGTATATATATATATATACACACACTAGAGCATAGCGGTGTAGAGTCTGACATGTTGGACACACTCAGCATTCTGCTCATATATGGAGCTTTGCTGTTCCGTCCTGGCCGCCAAATCTTGCCGACTCATTCCCGCCACGGAACCCGGCCCTAAACCATATATATATATATATATATATGTATATATATATATATATATATAGCCCGCGACTTGTTCCAGGAAGCGCCAGGCTTTGTGAGATGGGCCCAGGAGACTGTTGCGCGCAACGCCCGGGAGGGTGCCTTCGTTGCACAACTTCCTTCGGGCTTGAGATGAGAGTCCAGGGTTTTGGTGAGGTCAGAGTTCTGGGTTCAATTGCAAGGTTATAGGGCAGATGAGAGCCTGTCACTCAATGTTCCAATGATTCTGAAAAACTACAGCCTCATGGCCCGCTGAGGTGGCTGGGTCACACCGCTGCAGCCGTCAAATCAAATCACTATACATCCTGAAAAATTGCCCCTGTCATGATTCAAACTTTCGGATCGGTATACGTGGTGACTGCAGGTTTAGAGTTGATAAAAGCCAGAGTCATAGCCTGTCAAAGCACCTGGGATCCCTGGCAGGGGCCGTCGGCAGGAATAGCAGCAACTTCGAGCTTTTTGTGACTTTCGCCCAGCAGCTGCGCAGCCAGGACTCGTAGCGAATCAACTTGCTCCAGAATTTTGCGACGATGTGAATTTGCTGAGCTTGTCTTGTGCATGCGGAGACCTTGTGTGCCTTTGCAGGAGAAAGAAGATCCAGTGGTTCTGTGCGACATGCAGGAGACGGACGTGCAGGTCGCCTGTGCTTCAGGTGCGCTGGACATGTGGTTGGGGTTCAGGGCCTTGCACGTGCTTATCATCTCCAGACTAGCCTGCGGCTAGGATGATTGGTTCACCTTCACTGCTGCTTTTCGATCTGGAAGAACTTTCAAGTTCCATGCTTTTGCAAAAGCCATCATAACTGCACCTTTCACATCTGGGCCCATGGGATGCTGGAGCTTCAGCGATTGAGATTTTGTTGAGATCAGAGGAGCAGGCGTAGGGAGAAGGGGGCCTTGCCGCGAACTCTTTCAGGGAACTCTCCGGGGTTAGGGTTTAGGGTCATCGATGAGGCGGGCAACTTGGAGGCACTTCAGAGAGACCTCGTTCAAAAAGGGTTAAGGGCTTAGAGTTTTTTTGGGTTTATAGGGCCGACTCTTTTGGGTACGGAGGCTTGGTGTCTTTGCAAGGCCAGCCCCTGCCAGAGACAATCGCTCAGAAAGCCACTGAGAGCATGACAGCGTGAGCGTTGATTTTCTGCCTGCGGCTGATCCAGGATAACCGGGCTATGTGTTGACGTGGTTGACATGGGCGCTAGGTTGAAATGAATGTTCTTCTCACGCTAAACAATTTCAAGTGTTGAATTTCAGCCAGAACACTGGGGCTTTAAGCTGGGCTTCTACGAATCGCCAGTTCACTGGAGCGAACAGAGGCATCACGTGCTGAGCAACTGATGTGTATGAACCAGCACCCTGCATAGAGGGCTCGGCTAGTCACAAGCTGCTTTCTGTCTGGCATGCTTTGTATGTATCTCGAGACATATGCGGTCAGCGGTGAACGCCTTTGTTCCTATGGGCCAGCTGTACAGATGGGTAGCTGCTTGGGGAGGATGCTGCTGGGGTGCGGCCTGCCGGGAAGCAGTGAAATGAGATCATGTTGGTAAGCCCGTGTCTCCACTGATGAGCTGCTGCTTCCGAGATTCTGGGATTTTGAACCAGAGTCACTTCGGCCCGCAGGCATGATTGCACGTAGCTAAGCCAGTACTTCGTGGACTGTGTGCACTGCCTGTGGCCGGTCGTCTTTGGCTCAGAGTGAACAAATCACGGCGTCGGGCACACGGCGCTGACTGAAGGCTCTTCTGACCAATTCAAGTTCGAGGTAACTACACCGAGATGTATACTGTGTATATACTCGACTATAAACTTCCAGGCTCAGAGCCGGCATTCCGAAAGGGACTGCACGTGACGTTGCAGGTACTCTGCGAGGAATGTTCTAATACTTTGCAGCGGCACTCGCCAAGAACCTGAGACCCTTAGCCCTGCAGCCCGGACACTTATTGCCATGCCATGCCTGCATTTGCGAGTGTGAGAGTCGAAACCCTGCAGCTGCGCAAGCCCAAAGCGTCCCCTGAGGATATGGCATCGCCTTCAGCGGTGTTCCTCAAAAAGCTGGAGACATGGATGCAGAGTGCTGAGGGTTCCCAGCTGTTGTACGGGCAAGTAGTTTGTTTGATTTACTTGGAAAGCTCGGCTCATGATTCCTAGTTTGGGGTATTCTGTTCAGGTTTAGTTAATATAGATGTTCTCATGCAGTCACATCGTTGCCTTAGGGTTGCATGAAGGGGCGGGCTGAAGAATATGATCCCGCCATGCATTTCCAGAAAGCCACTGCAACACGAGCTGGCATATTGACAGTAAGGTTTTGCGGACTACTGAATACTTGTCATGTTGTTTCGGAGCGATTTGTCACTTGCTGCCCCTTTCTTCTGCAATGACCATCCAAAAACTTCGCCGTAGAGATCAATCTAGTAGTAGTTTCCTGAATACTAGATGCACTATTCACTATTCCTTGCCGTTCATTACGCAAGTACCACAAAACTCCCAAACCCTGGACATGTTGGCCCCTGTGTTTGAAAGCTGGCCGCCGGTGTTTTGCCGTTTGCAGCCCTCACCAGGAGTCCTTCCTGAAGCGGATCCGTAAGTGGGACACCGAGTGCCATGGCAGTTGCAAGGTAGGGTCGCCTTGGAAGATGTAAGAACTTGGCCTAGGGCTAAGTGTTCATTGGGGGGTGTGAACACAATGTTCAGGTTCAGACGAAACGTTCGCTGCGGAGCTGTGAAGAAGCCAAGCGTTTCAGAAACCTCATCGAACTGATGATGCGACATTGTTCAAGCAAGCAGAGCTGTGTGGACCTGTGTGGACCGTCAGAGCAAGAAAACATGCCATAGCCAAACCCCTTAGTGCCGCCACTGCTTCAGAGGTTCCTTTGCATCGGAAAGAACGCCGCAGAGGCATTTGGCTTGATTGGACATGTTTGTTCTCGACTTGCAGTAGTTTCGCCGTAAACAGAGCATAGATAGTAGAGGAGGTGGCTGGCAAATCAGGGCCCCTTGCAGTCTAGTGAAGGAACCGGAGGTTCACTATCAGGAAAATATGCCCGAGCATCTTACGATTCAGAGTTTCTTGACTTTCGTAGCAGTTCCAGCAGCCCGAAATGCCGCGCGTGCACGCACGTGTGTATATATATATATATATACATGTGTGTGTGTGTGTGTATGTGTGTGTGTGTGTGCGCGAGTGGCTCTCGCCTACTCAGCTTTTTGATTGTTGTCTTTTTCTCGTCGCGTGATGATCCAGCTTTGAGACACTTGTGGTTCAGCTCCCAGTTGCCAGCGATGTGCATGTGAGCAGATGGCAACGGGAGAGTCGTCTCGTTACTGTCTTTCTCGATCGCCATGGTTGCAGGGTCAAGCGTGCCCATGTCTTGGGGTAGATAGCCATGTCTTGAGGTAGAGGTTGAGTGCGTGGATGTGAAAGCTTGCGACGCGCACGTTCTATGTACTTTCGGATGCTAACTGTGCCATGACGCGTAAAGTCTGCTGACCTGCATCTGCCTGGACTTGAGACTTTGTTTAGACGCATGTAGAGAGGCAACAGATGTATCCATTTGGAACTTTGCAACTTTGCACGGTGTTCATCTGAGTTCGATGTGATTTTAAGTTGGTACTGCAACAACTGATATGTGGTGGTTGTAGTAGAATCTTACACGAATGTGATATGAACTCAATATGAATGGACATATGGAATATGACTTCAATGCGGTTTCAAGTTGATTTCAATGTGTTCTGAAGTCTGGCCAACATACTGGCTTACGGGAAGATTAGGGTGCGATTATGAAGGCAAGATTACCCGACTGCGAGCTATCCTGTTTTGTTTTTTGTATATGTCGGGCATACTGGCAAATCAAGCAAACAAGCAGGAACCTTGAAATCTAGCTTTCAGAAGGGATAGGGATCAACAAAATTAAATCAGGATCAAAAAAAATTAAATCAGGACCAAAAAAAAATTAAACGATAAAAATACAATAGGAGCTAGGGAAGGAAGGAAGGAGGGAGGGAGGGAGGGAGGGAGGGAGGGAAGGAAGGAAGGAAGGAAG